CCCCAGAATATTAGCATGAAAAAGTAAGAAAGGACGATATATTTTTATATATATATACAGTTTGACTCCTTTTTCATACTTTTGGTGATATTTAATGTTTATTTTAACATAATACGCGTTTAGAGGTGGGAATAAGCTTTCAAAAGAGATATAGCTTGACTATATTAAGTGAATTCTAATACTGATGCTGTTAAATGAAAAATATCTGAATCCTCCCTGTACAGGGAGGGTGATCCTTTATATCGTATGTTTTGAAGAGCGTCCAAAAAAGCGTTATATAAGTTTGATGTGTTATAACTATAAATGTCCTTCATTTAGGAATCACATGACGCAAATTACACACAAGAAATATGGTTAATTATAATGCTGTATACGTCAAAAGGTGCGTGCTGTGGAGCGCCAGGCAACACGGGGCGCGAAAGAGGTGGTTCTGCAAATGTCACGATGATTAATTGACTTAAGCCACATCTGTCACGCATGCTGTTGGTAGTTAACTAACCGGAGGAGCTAATACCCTTTAGCAGCTATAAAGCAATACACGGAGAGATCCAGGAAATAAAAAAAACCTTTTAAAAGTCGTGTGCTTAACGCAGCCATCTGATCTGCTATGAGCGAGACTGACTTGTTTGCATTTAATGAAAGTTTGAGGCGTTTCTATGGCTGAGAAGTGGTTGGCGATGCAGGAGGAGAGGGTCTGTGCTGGTGTCGGAGCAGAGACGAAGGGCAGCTGAGGTTGTTGCTCTATGTGGCGGTAAATGTGTCGGAAACTTTTTATTTTTCTCCAGGAGCCTGTAAGGATGAGTCCTCTGCAGAGTACAGGATGACAAGTCACATCTGTCCGCACTTTCATAAATTATACGCAGATTTTTTTTTAATTTTTTTGTTTCAGTGCAGTGTGAGATGGATGAAAGTAAAAAAATCATTGCTTCGGCTGATGAGTTCTGAAAATGACTAAGAGATCGTTACGAGAGTGGAGAAATTTCAGTGTTGCATTGATGATTGAAGAATAGCAGGAATGAGGAGCACACAGCACAAGAAAAAATTATAGTAAGTCTATACTAAAATAGAATAAAACAAAGTCTTTAATTTTGAAAAACAAAGAATTAAGTGTAAAATCTCTGACTTTAGCGCAATTGGAAGTAACACTGCAAAAAGTGTTGATCAAATTATGCTAAATGTATCTAGCACATTTTGACTGCCTTAAAACAAGATTTTCCAATGGGACAAAGCAAAATGATCTTGTTTTAAAAGGAAACACGAAATCTCTTTTGAATGAGAAAGAAAAGGCAAGAGTTCTTGAAATAAGACTAAATGGCTCTGTCTCAAGGGCAAATCTTGTTTTAAGACAGAATGTGCTCAGACTAAGATGCCAACCACTCGATTCAAGCAATTATTACCTCATATTTTATAATTTTTTGCAGTGTATAAACTCAACTCATCGTGAAAACTGTATTGTATCCAAGGGGAAAATAGTTTGCATGTGGTGGAGCAGTAGAACTAGTATTATGCTAAAATCTCAATCTTCAGCATGTCCAGAATAATGTATGAAAAGATATCAAAGGCTTTTCCAAAACATGTAAAAGAATGAGAGCCATTGACAAAAAAGCCGCTGTGTCTTTGTATCGGAGAAATTATGAAATGGTTAAAGCTAAATGTGTTTGAACTGCTCAGATTAGCAACATGAGTGCGGCTGATAAATAACTTAAAGGTGCAGTGCGCAACTTTTCTGCCTGGTCCTTGGCTGGAACGTCCCTCGGGATTATATAAAACATGTACATTATTTATTTACACGTGTTTTTACTGCTCAAGATCAGTTTATTTTCCTCCATGGGTACGAGGCGCTCCTCCCCGATGGCCATGCTATGGAATATTCTGGAAAAACAACAACATCGAGAACAAGCCGACCCTCCTCCAGGAAAGTTGGATTCTGCATCTTTAAATTGGGGTTTCCTCCTTAACTCAGAATACATATATTTGGTCCAAGCAGAAAGTTTTGTTCAAAGTATGATTTTGTGAAGAAATTATACCACACAATGCTGTCCTCATCTAATGTAAAAAATACTTTCAATTTTGTGCAGACTATGATCCCAGTAAGTCCATATGTGACACTTTGGGCAGAGAGCTGATTGGCTGTGAGGGTTGTCCTCTCGTTTACTCATCTGTCTGAAAATAGTGATTGAAAGATGGGATGAGAAGTGATGTGAAAATGAGTGATAAAACCATTGGACCATGGACAAAGGGATGTACCCAGCTTTAAGCAAAAGTGCAAACAACTATAGTTAAATTGCCCTCACAAATTTAAGTGAAAATGCCAACTTATATTTACCTTAAACTAAAAGAATAAAGTTGTAATTGTGTATTTTGATATTTGCCTCAAATTCTAGTCAATCCATCCAACCAACCAACCAACCATCCATCCATCCAACCAACCATCCATCCATCCATCCAACCAACCATCCATCCAACCAACCAACCATCCATCCAACCATCCATCCAACCAACCAACCATCCATCCATCCAACCATCCATCCATCCATCCATCCAACCAACCAACCATCCAACCAACCAACCATCCATCCAACCATCCAACCAACCATCCATCCAACCATCCAACCAACCATCCATCCATCCATCCAACCATCCAACCAACCATCCATCCATCCAACCATCCATCCAACAATCCATCCAACCAATCATCCATCCATCCATCCATCCAACCAATCATCCATCCAACCATCCATCCATCCATCCATCCAACCAACCATCCATCCATCCAACCATCCATCCATCCAACTATCCATCCATCCATCCATCCAACCAACCACCCCTCCATCCATCCAACCAACCATCCATCCAACCATCCAACCAACCATCCATCCATCCATCCATCCATCCAACCAACCATCCATCCATCCAACCATCCATCCAACAATCCATCCAACCAATCATCCATCCATCCATCCATCCAACCAATCATCCATCCAACCATCCATCCATCCATCCATCCAACCAACCATCCATCCATCCAACCATCCATCCATCCAACTATCCATCCATCCATCCATCCAACCAACCACCCCTCCATCCATCCAACCAACCATCCATCCAACCATCCAACCAACCATCCATCCATCCATCCATCCATCCAACCAACCATCCATCCATCCAACCAACCAACCAACCATCCATCCATCCAACCAACCAACCATCCAACCATCCATCCAACCAACCATCCATCCATCCAACCATCCATCCAATCATCCATCCATCCATCCAACCACCCATCCATCCAACCATCCAACCAACCAACCATCCATCCAACCAACCAACCATCCATCCAACAATCCATCCAACCAACCATCCATCCAACCATCCATCCAACCAACCAACCATCCATCCAACAATCCATCCAACCAACCAACCATCCATCCATCTATCTTTTCCATTTTGAACATGATCCATCGCCCGTCTTGTGTTTAAACCACTTTTATAATCTCTTGCCTCAGACCCTCCCTCTTTAAAAGGTTAATCCACATTCTTACGATACAATACTATCATGAAGCCATCTCTCCGGCTGTGGTCTGTTCCATGTAATGCACCGTGAACCACACATATGGAGCCAGGCCTGCAGAATAATTACACCCCGGACCCCCTGCTGAGGACGGGGAAGAGGAGGAGAAAAATCTGGCTTCAGAGACTTCTTTGGCTATTAGCTCAGGTTTCCAGGGACCAGAACTTAACTTCAGGGGCAACGTCCAAGAACCAGCTCATTAAGTTGTATCGATTTGGAATTGGTTGTTTATTCTTTAACAACACTGGGAGGGCGGAAAATGCAAAATGCGAGACTTCTTGGAAACTCTCCATTGAGTGGTTCTCTGTGTTAAGCCGGTCGGGGTGTAAAAACTAAATTCGATAATGAATGAATTGCTAATGTGTTGAGAGGAATACAATGCCAGATCAAAGTTGAAGCCTCTGTTAATTGATTGCGAGAGTAACTAACGCCGTGCAAATGTGTTGTTTCTAGTGGAATGATGATGATTTTGTGAGTTCAGTGGGCCGTAAGTGATTGAGACAGATTGTGGAATGATGACAGGGGGCAGATTAGTGAGCAGATCCAGTATGCCCACTGCGCTGAGGAAGCAACCAACATTTACTCTTCAAAAATGTGGTTCTGTAAATATTATAATACCTGTAAATATTACTGCAGTTCATTGTTCATGGTTTCACACTAGACCAGAGCAGAGAGGATGCAGGGTCCGAACCAATCAGGTCAAGAATGGTAAAAAACATTGAGAATTTAACTCCAGGGCAACGAAATAGTCCAAACCAATCAGACTCTGCTGATATCAACAAGAGGATAGGAAGCAGCTTTATTTGTATTGCTAGTAACTTTTAGAATTACGTGTTTATTTGTTTGGATGGATGGATGCGTTTCTGCTGCTGTAAACCTACATTTCTCCAACGGGGATCAATAAAGTATCTTTCAATCTCTTGAATTTACAGTGGATTTATTTATGATTTGAATCCATCTAGTTTTTTTACGCACTTTGAGTTGCCTGTGATATACAATAAACTATATCTATTTTACACTGAAATGCCAATTCTATCAAAGAAGTAGTAAGTAAGTAAGTAAGTAATGTTTATTTATATACCGACTTTCACAGACCAGAGTCACAAAGCTGTTTACAATTGTTATTTTTGGGCACTTGTCCTCTCTCTCCAAACAGAGATGGGAGCGGGGCCGCCAGTGCAGGAACTATTGTACATATTTTTTGTGGTAGGGGAAACCGGAGTACCTGGAGGAAACCTACGCAGACACAGGGAGAACATGCAAACTCCACTCAGAAAGTGGTCCGACCGGGATTCGAGCCCAGGACCTTCTTGCTGAGAGGCGAGAGTGCTAACCACTCAGCCACCGTGCCGCCCACGTGGTCCTGGCCTCGTGCTCTCTATCCGCTGATGTAACACAGAGGATAGTTTGGCCATAGATCTGCAGCGTCATGGAAGAGGAGCCGGGAGCCGAGAGTGAGGGCGAGGCATTAATGTCAGCCGGCAAATATAGCTCCAGGGGGCTGAGGAGGCCTGGAGCTACAGAGGCCCCTGGAGGAGGGAGTGATGGGGCCGTGCCAGTGTCTCGTGTGGCCGGCTGATGGATCGCGGGGAGGGAGAATCTCGTCAATCACCTCGCTCTCGCTCGCTCGGTCCCTTCGAATAGATCAGCGCTCTGTGGGGACGTCCTGCTCACACCGCCAACATCACAGCAAACCCGGAGTCAGCAGCCGAGAGTCCACTGAAATATTAACGGATTAGGACGCTATATATAAATACCAGGTTGTCACACAAGGGGACTGCGCTGTGCCAACATGATCGGGGAGATTGTACTCGGGCACGTGTGAGGGGAGAGGTTTGTGAGATTCATGAGGTAGAATTGAGTGTCCTTTCAATGCTTTTTCAGCTGTTTGCCAACTTTAACATAAGAATCAGTCACAGCTTTTAGAATCGAAAGTGTAATTACTCTGCGAGTGTACATTGGTATAACTTTGTGACTTTTTCTGTATCTATTTGTAGTTTATTTCTATGTCATTATTTTTATATAATCACCCATTTATTCAATATCATGTGAAGGTCGCTTGGTAAACAATTTCCTATGGCAGTTAAAAGCTCCTTTTTCAGGGTGCTGGTCCTGGACTGGCCGTCTTAAACATATGCAAAAACATATTATATATCATATATATTTCTCATACTATGAATGCTGAGAGAGGGGGCTTCTCTCTTTTTCACTACTTAGTTTGAAAAAGCGGGTCTAAAGATGTGACAGGCCAACCAATACATAGATTTGAAACTTAGAGATAGAACCAAACTGTTTTTAAAGCCAGGAAACATAGGTAGATTCCATTCATTACAATGCTGTGGTTTGAAAACTAGGTTCCCAGCTTTAAGTAGATTTTTAACAGTGAGTAGGAAAGGCAACAGTCAGCTAAGTAATATGAATATGCTAAAATGTGCTTTTCTCGAAGATTTTTTATTCAGAATGGGTACAGCTCTTTAAAAAGGCAGTTGACAAAAGTGTATAACATTTTCCGTTGGTCATTCACAAAAAATAAAAATGTCCTTGCTTAAATCTGAAGAGAAAAAAAGAAATTCCGGGATTTTTCTATTTTTTCTCTGCATTTTCTGCCATGGAAAACCAAGCCACCGATAGAGCACTCCCGACAGAGCACTCCCGACAGAGCACTCCTGACAGAGCACTCCCGACAGAGCACTCCCGACAGAGCACTCCTGACAGAGCACTCCCGACAGAGCACTCCCGACAGAGCACTCCTGACAGAGCACTCCCGACAGAGCACTCCTGACAGAGCACTCCCAACAGAGCACTCCCGACAGAGCACTCCCGACAGAGCACTCCCAACAGAGCACTCCCGACAGAGCACTCCCGACAGAGCACTCCCGACAGAGCACTCCCGACAGAGCACTCCTGACAGAGCACTCTCTACAGAGCACTCCTGACAGAGCACTCTCTACAGAGCACTCCTGACAGAGCACTCCCGACAGAGCACTCCCGACAGAGCACTCCCGACAGAGCACTCCTGACAGAGCACTCTCTACAGAGCACTCTCTACAGAGCACTCTCTACAGAGCACTCCCGACAGAGCACTCCCGACAGAGCACTCCCGACAGAGCACTCTCTACAGAGCACTCCTGACAGAGCACTCTCGACAGAGCACTCTCTACAGAGCACTCCCGACAGAGCACTCCAGACAGAGCACTCCCGACAGAGCACTCCCGACAGAGCACTCTCGACAGAGCACTCTCGACAGAGCACTCCTGACAGAGCACTCCCGACAGAGCACTCCTGACAGAGCACTCTCTACAGAGCACTCTCTACAGAGCACTCCTGACAGAGCACTCTCGACAGAGCACTCCCGACAGAGCACTCCCGACAGAGCACTCTCGACAGAGCACTCTCGACAGAGCACTCCAGACAGAGCACTCCTGACAGAGCACTCCCGACAGAGCACTCCTGACAGAGCACTCTCGACAGAGCACTCCTGACAGAGCACTCCCGACAGAGCACTCCTGACAGAGCACTCTCTACAGAGCACTCTCTACAGAGCACTCCTGACAGAGCACTCTCGACAGAGCACTCCCGACAGAGCACTCTCGACAGAGCACTCCTGACAGAGCACTCCCGACAGAGCACTCCCGACAGAGCACTCCCGACAGAGCACTCTCTACAGAGCACTCCTGACAGAGCACTCTCGACAGAGCACTCTCGACAGAGCACTCCCGACAGAGCACTCTCGACAGAGCACTCCTGACAGAGCACTCTCGACAGAGCACTCCCGACAGAGCACTCTCGACAGAGCACTCCCGACAGAGCACTCCCGACAGAGCACTCCCGACAGAGCACTCCCGACAGAGCACTCCCGACAGAACAAAAAAGGAAAAAATAATCAATCCCTTATTAAAAACACATAACTTTGATCTGCTTTAACATTTTGCAGTGGCCTTCTGTTCTAATCTTTCATCCTGACATTCTCCGTCCTGACACACACTTTCATACAATACAACTGGGCCCATTTGACACTAAGCAAATGCCACAGCAATTAACCTCCGCGGACGGTAATGAGGGCCGCTTCTATCATTCTCACCGACTGTCAGACCGAGAGCTTTGTCCCAAACAAGAGCTCGACCACTTCTACCGACCAAGAGGACTGTGGGTAATCTTGGTATGAATGACAGCGATCCGCCATTGTAGGAGCCAAGTTTATCCAGGTTTGGGTGTAGGTTATTTTTACTGATATGTTTTTTTTGTCTAAGGCAGTGTTTTTCAACCAGTGGGCCGTGGCTCGCTAATGTGCCTTGAGCGTGCCTTCGGAAATGATCCAATGTCATGTGAGAAGATTAGAAAGACATGTTTGATTTTATTAATGATATACGCGGATGAGAATGCAGCCTTTACTAACAATGCGAGTCAGAAATTAGACTTAGTACCAACTTTGATACCATGCTGTCAATCGTTAAAAATATCTCTCTTTGGACATTAAGTTACATTTTTTAAGCTACAAAAATAACAATGAAAAAATAAAGTAAACTTGTTCATGGTACCAGAGAACTGTATTACGTTACCAGTTGAGGTCTAGATTTTGTTATAAGAAAAGGATTTAGCCAAAACCTGCAAACCATAATTTGATTTGTCAAACTGGCAACCCAAAAGAGAAGCTCATTCTGCTCTTTGAATGGATTTTAATCAAGAATAACCGTATTTTATTTTAAGCTTTTGTTCGAAAAAGGTCAAATAAGATTTGTACACTGACATTAGCTGGGGTCACATAAGATGGTTTTAATAAGGTCAATATTACACACTGCCCCTTTAATATGTTTGCTACTTTTGACAACCCTATTTTACATGTGATTTCTGCTATTTTTGAAAAAAATAAATAAAAATAAATTCAGTATCAGTCTCTACAAAAAGCCAGATGTTGGAAGTTGTTGAGTAAATTTTTTGCTTACATTCACCTTTTTGACGTTTAACTTCTCACAACTTTGCCCTTTTTTTTAAGTCAAGGCACGAGAGCAGACGGTTCAAGACGCTTCGCACACAAAATTATCTTTGCCCACCAGGACGCCGTCTGCAGCCCGCTGCTGTGCCGCGTCAGTCCGTGCCATAAGCTTGTCATTGATAAAAACCTGGAGTCACAATGGAGCCAAGGTGCAGGGTAATTGCTCATGCTAAGTCCCACTTTGCATGTAATCCTTGTCCTCTCGTGGCTCTGTGTGGAGAGCAGCTCTGAGAGGATTCCATTCAGCAGCTGTGGATGGGAATGTGGCGCTTTAAATGGGTTAAATAGATACACTTTTAAGAACGAGATTTGAAGAAAGTTGCATTTAAATAAATCTCAGCGTGGTTTGTAGAATTGATGACATGGGGATAAATATGGAACAGACTCAGAACCCCACTGATTTGAAAGCAGTGATAATTTGTAATGCTGGTGATAAGTGTTATTTATTATGATGACTAATCTAATTTCACACAAAGTTTTATTTTGTGGTCTGTATTTCATTCTGTACGCAAACAGAGAAAAACAGGGGCTAATAGAATTGTTTATTGGTTGGGAATAAACTGACGCTGAATATACGACTCTGAAGACAATATCGGTCCATAAGAGAGAATGTTGATAGATGTCATACATGTGGATAAAGTCCATACATGTTGATAAAGTCCATACATGTTGATAAAGTCCATACATGTGGATAAAGTCCATACATGTTGATAAAGTCCATACATGTGGATAAAGTCCATACATGTGGTTAAATGTACCAATATGCAAACTATTCTAAACATTCACTCCCCATTATACGTACTGTACATATATTAAACCACTTTCCTTTTTAGTGTTTTTGCCCCGTTTCCACCACAGGCTGAAACCCTCTGGCTAACATATGGCCCGAGTGCAGTCATAAATATTAGTGGGACTACAAAAGCAGCGCGCCGTGTTTGGTTAAGACATTAATAACATCCAGAGCACATGTTTCCCCCGGAGACGCCCGGAGACGACCGGACGCAGCTCGCCGCCATCGCTCGTCTCGGATGACTGCTGTCCTGCTGTTTACATCCATGCCCCATTTTCATCTTCATTAGCTGTGTTCATGATACACGCTCTCATTCTAATTAAAACACATCAGTAACTGTAACATGCACGGGCAGGGGGGGAGGGGAGGGGGGGGGGGGGGGGGGGGGGGGAGGGAGACAGCAGAGAGAGAGATTGAGGGTGCAAAGAGAGAAATAGGCATAGGGAGAGAGAGGCAGAGAGGGAGAGAGAGAGGCAGAGATGGAGAGAGAGAGGCAGAGAGGGAGAGAGAGGCAGAGAGGGAGAGAAAGAGGCAGAGATGGAGAGAGAGGCAGAAATGGAGAGAGAGAGGCAGAGATGGAGAGAGAGAGGCAGAGATGGAGAGAGAGAGGGAGAGAGAGAGGCAGAGATGGAGAGAGAGAGAGGCAGAGAGGGAGAGAGAGAGGCAGAGAGGGAGAGAGAGAGGCAGAGAGGGAGAGAGAGAGGCAGAGATGGAGAGAGAGAGGCAGAGAGGGAGAGAGAGGCAGAGAGGGAGAGAAAGAGGCAGAGATGGAGAGAGAGGCAGAAATGGAGAGAGAGAGGCAGAGATGGAGAGAGAGAGAGGCAGAGAGGGAGAGAGAGAGGCAGAGAGGGAGAGAGAGAGGCAGAGAGGGAGAGAGAGAGGCAGAGATGGAGAGAGAGAGGGAGAGAGAGAGGCAGAGATGGAGAGAGAGAGAGGCAGAGAGGGAGAGAGAGAGAGGCAGAGAGGGAGAGAGAGAGGCAGAGAGGGAGAGAGAGAGGCAGAGATGGAGAGAGAGAGGCAGAGAGGGAGAGAGAGGCAGAGAGGGAGAGAAAGAGGCAGAGATGGAGAGAGAGGCAGAAATGGAGAGAGAGAGGCAGAGATGGAGAGAGAGAGGAGGCAGAGATGGAGAGAGAGAGGCAGAGATGGAGAGAGAGAGGGAGAGAGAGAGGCAGAGATGGAGAGAGAGAGAGGCAGAGAGGGAGAGAGAGAGGCAGAGAGGGAGAGAGAGAGGCAGAGAGAGAGAGAGAGAGGCAGAGAGGGAGAGAGAGAGGCAGAGATGGAGAGAGAAAGGCAGAGATGGAGAGAGAGAGGGAGAGAGAGAGGCAGAGATGGAGAGAGAGAGAGGCAGAGAGGGAGAGAGAGAGGCAGAGAGGGAGAGAGAGAGGCAGAGAGGGAGAGAGAGGCAGAGAGGGAGAGAGAGAGGCAGAGAGGGAGAGAGAGAGGCAGAGAGGGAGAGAGAGAGGCAGAGAGGGAGAGAGAGAGGCAGAGAGGGAGAGAGAGAGGCAGAGATGGAGAGAGAGAGAGGCAGAGAGGGAGAGAGAGAGGCAGAGATGGAGAGAGAGAGGCAGGAGGGAGAGAGAGAGAGGCAGAGAGGGAGAGAGAGAGGCAGAGAGGGAAAGAGAGAGGCAGAGAGGGAGAGAGAGAGGCAGAGAGGGAGAGAGAGAGGCAGAGAGGGAGAGAGAGAGAGGCAGAGAGGGAGAGAGAGAGGCAGAGATGGAGAGAGAGAGGCAGGAGGGAGAGAGAGAGAGGCAGAGAGGGAGAGAGAGAGGCAGAGAGGGAAAGAGAGAGGCAGAGAGGGAGAGAGAGAGGCAGAGAGGAGAGAGAGAGGCAGAGATGGAGAGAGAGAGAGGCAGAGAGGGAGAGAGAGAGGCAGAGAGGGAGAGAGAGAGGCAGAGAGGGAGAGAGAGAGGCAGAGAGGGAGAGAGAGGCAGAGAGGGAGAGAGAGAGGCAGAGGGGCTTTGAGAGGAATAGAAAAAGAATGAAGGGTTGTGTTGAGAGTCATGAATAAAAAGAAAAAAGACTAAAGCTGATTTGAATTCAGGTCAGAGTTGTTTACGGTGTGTGTGGCTCAACTGCAATTAAGACTGTGTGTGTGTGTGTTTGTGTCTGTCTGTGTGTGTGTGTGTCTGTGTGTTTGTGTCTGTCTGTCTGTGTGTGTGTGTATGTGTGTGTGTGTGTGTGTCTTTGTGTGTGTGTGTGCGTGTGTGTGTCTGTGTGTGTGTAAGTAAGTAAGAAACGCCGGACACACTGACGCATCAAAGCCCCCAACACCATCCGTTCACTCACTCATCACATTCAGACCTATTGCACATGTTTTTAGTGGTAGGGGAAACCGGAGCACCCGGAGGAAACCTACGCAGACACGGGGAGAACATGCAAACTCCATATATAAAGGTCCTGTTGTGACCGGGATTCATGTAGAGTATGCTAAAATAGTATCACAGATAACACAAATTCAGTTTTCTATTAGTTATTGGTCACAGAGAACCACTTTTTTTTCTTCCTTTAACAAAACAAAACTATTCAGTAAATGATGTAGGAAGTAAGATTGAGTCACTGTGGATCGATTGAGGGCAACGCAAAAGCCATCGTCATGACTACAGCAGACATCAGTGTTTGACAGGAGGCATTTATCAGTATTGAATGGGATACATTTGATATAATCACGATTTTGGAGGTGAAAATGTAAGAATTCAGATTTGAAATGGCAGGAATTGGCTAAACAAATGTAACCTATAAGTTTAAAGCCTAGCGTACATCGACAGAGAAACTGGGGACAACTAGTTGAAGGCGGCTTTTGGCGACTGAGAGGAGATGATGGAGATGATCAGTTGAAATCGGTCGATGTGAGCGCTCTTACAACTGGAGATAAACAGTCGGTCTCCAGTTTCAGTCAGTTGCCCGTGTTCTACTTTTCGGCAACTAGTTGTCCTCAGTTTCGGAGATATGACCCGATGTGCGCGCTCCATGCGCCGCTCCGACAACGTGTGTGTATTGCGTGTGTTGCGAGCCCGCAACAGTTTATGTCAGAAAACACACTGTAGTTGAGGCCAGTTGCTGTTATTCCCGAGACTGGTCTGCTACTGGGAGTTGCCCGTTTTCGTCAGATTGTCGATGTGTGCGGGGCAGCAACTCATTTGCGACGGATATAATCAGTTGCCAGTCCGATGTACGCTAGGCTTAAGAATTGGGATATTGTGAAACATTTATAAAAATAAGTAAAAAACTGCTTGAAATAAGAAAAATGATCTGCCGATAGAACAAGAAAATATGACAAAATATCAATTTACTTATTTCTTAAATATTTTTGACAAATGTTTTCTTAGAATACTGCACAACAACCTTGTATCACAGGAAGATGGCTTCTCTGTGATCGAAGACATTGCCTTGGTCTTTCAGC